CATCTGGATGCTTTTGCCTCGGTGACTGTAGCCTTCGGCAGACAGGTGCTTCAATGAGTGGTTCCACAGTCGGTGTGATGAGCCGGATGAGGATCTGCCCGTGGACATGCAAGCTTTGGTATGTCCCATCCTAGGCTCTTGCTGCAGCATGGAGGAGAATGGGCATTGGCAGAAGTTACCGTGAATGCCCTTTCTATCTATGCTGCGAGATAGCCTAGCCCCTCCCTTGATTCGTCTGGAGATGGTAAGGCATGTTCATGTATTGGATTGTTTGCTTTCAGAGACATTTCTTCAGTCTGTCAAGTATCTTCGCCAAAGCTGGGGATTCTTCCGGGGCTGGCTTTTTATATATGCAAGTACAGACCCAGATTAAAGACGTCATAAGAAGGAGTCTACCCATCCTGGGCTCTCTCGCAGCATAGATAGAAAGGGCATTCACAGGTAAATTTACCAACACCCATTCTATTTCTCAGACAAGAGTTCCATCTGGGTAGTTTACTTTTTAGATGCCCTTTCAGGAGATGCACCCCGCCCCTCAAAAACCCTTGTGAAGCTAAATAGGGCAGAACAAGAGATCCTGCCATAGAAATTATAAATAAATAGCTTTACTTTTTTTTTCAACCAGATATGCTTAGCCCAAGTGATTTTGTGTTGTGTGGTGCTAGTAAGTATCCAACAATGGAGTAACCAAGATTAGCATATTTTTATTCTAGCAGATGCAGCAAAATAATTACTGGGAGAACACATCTCAAGTTATAGGAATGGGAATGTAGGCATCCCAGAGCTAGCATGGTTTACCAACAAGCAAAACGAAGTAAGAAACAGAGAGTCAGAAAACGGGAATCTACATACAACTATCAAATTGAACAAAGCAGCACTAACAAAAACAAAACATTCTGATGATTCTGCCTGTACTTTTCTTGCCAGCTTACCTTAATTATTTCAGTTCTCCCAGGGCTGTTGGGCAGAGAGCCTGAATTCCAGGCAGAATAAGGAAATCCTTTCTATAGTCTTTGTAACTTTCAAAACCTGCAGCTTGATCAGAAGGGGCGGGGGAGTCTTCTCTGGGTCCCCTGAAAATGTCATTTTTTTGCACACTTGTGTAACAGCTTGGATATGAACTCAACCATGTATGTGCATTGTTGTGTAATGTTGGTGTTTATGGAACAAGAAGTTTTAAACTGATTTTTGGCAGTTTAACCAGTATCAGCAAGCCATTTGTGTTTTTTAATTTCTTTTAGTATTGTTTTTTTCCTTGCTGACATTATGGGGAAACAGAATGTAATTTTGACTTATATATTTTTTGATAAAGATAATGTTCAGATTTATTGTGTATGTATATCTGTGTGTGTGTGTATTCTAAGTTAATTTTTCAGCAACATTTTTTAAAATTATATTTGTCTACGTTAATGATTCTAACTAGCTGAGTACATCAGGATACAGTAATAACATTTCAAACCTTAAAATGACCTACTTTTTGTTAATGCTTTTGTTGGCTTCCCCACTTGGAATAAGTCATAAATTGGCATGGTTGATTCAGGAACTATAACTCCTCAAGTTGGGTAGAATCTAAAGAAACTTAAGAAGTCCATGCTACCAAGCAAAGGCCTACACCTAACATCAAGCTTAACCTATACCAGTGATGGTTAACCTTTTTGGTGCCGAGTGCCCAAAGTGTGCGCATGAGAATGCACACACACACATGCCCCAATCCCCAAAATTCAATGCAAGCACTCCCCTGTACAAGTGCCCCGGCCCCCGTTTTGGCTTCCAGGTTGGTGCAGGAGGCTTTTCAGGCCCAAAAAAGTGGCGGGGGAGTGCCTTTCCCAATCTCTGCAGTTTCTCCCTGCACGCCCAGGCTTTCTCCTCTGTTTCTGCCATGGAAAGGCACCTGTGGAGGGTGGAACCTGCAGAGATTGGAGAAGGCAGGAATGCAGGAGAAAGGGAGAGAAAGCTAGGGCATGCTGGCAGGGAAACTGCAGAGATTGGTGAAGGCCCCACCCCATGCATGCGCGGCAGAGACCTGAAGAGCAACTGGCCAGCGGGAGGTGCGTGCATGCATGCGCAGTGGAGTCAGGCTGGGGCAATGGCTGGCGTGCCCGCAGAGAGGGCTCTGTGTGCCACCCATGACAGGCTTGCCATAGGTTCGCCATCACTGACCTATACAATTCTAATTGATTGGTTTGTCAAGTTGTAGTAAAAAAGTGCAGGTTGTGGAATGCAGATAAATGATGATTTGCACTGCATTACCCAGTGAAGTTCATGAGTGAGTGAGGATTTCAACCCATATCTAATTATTTTTCTGTGTGTATTTGAATACAAATGATTTTTTTTGTTAATTAATAATATTAATAGTATTGAATTAGAGAACATGCCCAATTGAATCAGCTCGGGGGCACTTCCGGTTTGAGCTTCTTTAGCGACAGACTGAACCCTCGTCTCTGCGAGGCTTCAATCCGTGTTCACTGCTGGAGCGCCCCGAGCCAGCTGGTTTCGGGGCTAAGCCACCCCGTAGAGGTGGTGAAGAGGGGGGAAACTGCCAGCAGGGTTGAGGAGACCCGCATCTCTCCTCCCCAGCTGGCCATTACTCCCTTTCTCGAAGGCAGTTGCAGCGGTGGTCAGAAATGGCCACCACAAAGAACTTGACTGGAAAAGAATGTGCAGGAGGAAGATAAGAAGAGAAAGTTTTGGTTGACTGGGTCAAACAGCAAAAGCAACAAATAAGGATCCTGGAATTGAAACTGTTAAAAAACATTAACATTGTTCCCTAAGAAGATTTTTAAGCTGCGAAGGAGAGAGAAAAGGGAAAAAAATTGGTTTTCTCCTTTTCCTATACTGACAGTTAAGAGACTTAAGCAAGAAATTGGAAAAAAAATCCACTTTGACATCAATAGGCATTTAATGCTGAAAATAAAAAGTCAAAGGGATAATAAAGATTTTTGGATAATTAAAAGCTTTTGAAAACAGGAAAGGAGAGAAAAAGAATAAAAGGGTAGGATCTGGAAGGGAGGAGACTGCCTGGAATTAAAAAAGAACTTACAGCAAAATCTCAACAAGACTTCCAAAAGATACATTCTAACTGAAATATCGCAACAAAAACCCCAGGAAGAGAAAGTCGAAAAAGAAATAAGATATAACTCGGGACTATCTGGATTACTTGATGATTTCTGGATTCTTGGTTATTGTTTTGAATGATTAAAATTAATTGGGTGGTTGTTTAAAACTGTTTAAAAAAATTTCTGGATACTTCTGAATCTACTTTGGCCAATGTGATTGAACCTTACCTTTCAAGCTGAAGGGTTATTAGTAAATTTGTAGCAGAATTTTTGCAGAACTGTTAATGGAATATCTTTACTTATCCAGAAGTAAAGTTTTTTTTAACTGTAAATTAATGCCTTTGGATGGTAGCCTTTGGTTCCTCCTTAAGCTATAATGCATGAGACATGTGAACAGATCTACACCCTCCAGGTCAGAGGACTGTGGTCATACTAGATAGGAAATGTAATTTTAAAGAAATAGGCAATTTTTGATAATTACAAAGAAGCCATAGAATGAAATGTAAATTGCTGTAATGTAATGAAAGAAATTTAAATTTATATCAGTTACAATTATCTTTTATACATTGTCATGAATTGGCAGGAAAGATTGAATATATAGAATAGCATACAACTTCTACATCTGAATATTTCTTCTGTTCTTCCCAAGATATAGATAGCTGAAGCATATTATCTTCCATTTATACAGTACTGATGCATATTCTCTTCTTACAACATTGATCAGTTTACCTGTAGTATTTATCCCACAAATTGAAGCCAATATCAGTTTATAGTGTTGCTATATTTACATTGTCTAAATTCTAAATGCCTAGCTCAGTATAACATTTCACCTTATGTAGTTAAACTTTTTGTTCTGTAAAATAGTTATTTAAGGAAAATGAATCACGTACTGTCCTTCATATATGTGGAGGTATTAAAAGCTTCCATTTTTGGTTTGTTGTAAGCTACAATTTTCTACTGTTCTTAGAATTTAACAGAATGTAACATCTAGAAGTCAAAGATAATGACTCCATTGTACTAATTTTGTTCATACTAATTTTTTTATTTGATAATTCAGTTTATTAATTAATGTGTCATTTCCCTAATTGCTATTGATAAAGGAAACTGCAGTTTAGAACAAAGTAGACATTCCTTCAATAGTGTGTGTGTGTATCTATATGCATGTATGTGTGTCTTCCATCCTTCCGAGGTGGGTAAAATGAGGATCCAAATTGTTGGGGGCAATATGCTGACTCTGTAAACCGCTTTGAGAGGGCTGTAAAGCACTATAAAAGGGTATATAAGTCTAAGTGCTATTGCTATTATGGGCCTTTAAGATCCAAACAGACAGGCATTTTGTTCATAACATGCCTGATAAAACAGATATTGCTGTTGGCTAAGCATCTAGGCCAGAAGATCCAGGCTACTGGAAAAAGGTTATTTATTCATTGCAAACATGCAAAAAATGAGAACATCCTATAATGATATCTTTAACATCATCAAATAACAATAGCTGCCTATCCTGGGTCCATGGAAAGGAATTGTTAGATGGATAAAAATGCCAAATCCAGTCTTAAATATTTGGCTGGCTATGTGACCAACTTTAATAATAATGTGGTAAGAATTGAAAAGGTATCATGGTTAAGAATTTATTTATCAATGTTCTGTGCTGCTGTAATTACAGATATGGTATATTGTTTACTGTAAGCATAGTTGTGTGGATAAATATAGATTAATAGTACCTGAACATTTCTCCAATTGGGCATTTGTCCAAGATAATAAAATATTGACAGACTCTGCTTTTTGTATAAATGTTTTTTAAGCTGTGCTAGTATTGTTGTCCATATATAATATTTTGGAGTAAAACTATGTCTTTACTGCATTTATCTCTGCTTAATATATATTACAATCTATTTATTTTGGAATTATTAAATAGAATTTTAATAGGTTTTCTTCTGTTTCCAGGTTAGCACTATATGTATATGAATATCTTCTCCATGTAGGAGCACAGAAGTCTGCACAGACGTTTTTATCAGAGGTATGTTTTCTATTCTTTTCTTAATTTTGGATTAATAGACTAGTTTTTTATATTAAAAATTACCAGTGACTCTATAGAGAATCATGGTAGTCTGACATATAGTATATAAATGTTTAGAAATGAAACATTTAAATGAAAAATGTTCCATTTTTATAATTATTTGTTGTGATAATTTTAAGGCCATAAAATTGTGGCTATATCATTGATCTTGTTACATATCAAATAAGACACAGTGGGTTTGAGACATTGATTTTCACTGTGGTTATAGTATTATTTTAAGCCCAAGCTAAAAAGAAAAAGAAAAATTAAGCAGAGAGAAGGAGTGTGAGAGAGAGAAATAGCTACTTAACATAAATCCTTATTTTGACTCCAAAGCCCCAGTTTTTTCCAGGTTTCTCCAATCTAAGATTGGAGATCTTGTGCTTTTTTCCAGCCTAAACTATTGCTATATGTGGCACTAGAGGTGGTATTCAGCAGGTTCCAACCAGTTCTGGGAGAACTGGTAGCAGAAATTTTGAGTAGTTCGGAGAACCGGCAAATACCACCTCTGACTGGCCCTGCCCCATCTATTCTCTGCTTCCTGAGTCCCAGTTGTTCGGCTGGGTCTTCTTTTGTTGCCCTGCACAGGAGAACAGAGCTGGAAATCAGGTTAGTGGGGTGGGGAGGGAATGGAGATTTTGCAGTATCCTTCCCCTGCCATGCCCACCAAACCATGCCCACCAAATCATGCCCACAGAACCGGTAGTAATTTTTTTTGAATCCCACCACTGTGTGTGGCACCTATACTAATAGCTGAAAAACACTATAATGGTCAATTTCATATAAAATGAAAATATTAGACCGCTGTTGCAAATTATTAACCAGAGCATCATATACTAGTCTTAATTTCACTTGCATAAACTCACTGTATCACTAGTTATAATTGTATCATTTTATTACTGAATGTGGGCAAGAATTATACATATGCAGAAGCCACAATGTTGTTCTCCTTCCATATATTGAAAGAAGTTGCCATGTCATTACTAACACAGTCATTGCATCTTTGAGATAAATGGTTGTCCCCAAAGCATGGAGTCTGTGTGGCCTTAATGTATAAATTTATATAATTTTAAAGTATAAGGGATGAATAACATAAATAGATACTATTAATTTCCATGTGCATTGTAATGCAAATAGACTTCTGCTCATGCAATAGCTTTTCTTACTCTAAATAGTGATAGGTTGAATGTCACTATTATACACATAGTAATATATTTTGAGAAAAAAAAATAGAATAGGTGAAATGTTTCTTATAGTGCAAACGTTCTCCTATATGTGATAGTTTCTACTTTAGAAGTGTGATTGTCTGTGATAAAAACACATGAAGGCAAACATGAAATGAGCCAGTCCAAATATCTACAAAAAACACAGATTAAGTTGGGGGTCCTATCAGGCAGTGTAGAACAGTTGCCATAACTAGCAGATAAGAAAAAGCATAAGAATCAATAGCTAGCTGTTAGTTGGTGGAGCTGAGTGTGTATTTTGCTCTGCACACTCATATTTAGTCTGTTTTTCTGTCTCACTCTGACAGATAAGCCTATACACTCTAACGTACTCCCTCAGACACAGACAACATATATTATACCAGTTGAAACAGCTTTTTAAAATTGATTTGTGTTGATTTTTTAAAAATCATATTTAAATTCATTTTAGCTAAATGCTATTATTGTTTTCATGTGAATCCAGCTTGCCTCAGGAAATAATCATTATTTGCATTGGTTTTAGATAAGATGGGAAAAAAATATCACATTGGGCGAACCCCCAGGATTCTTGCACTCTTGGTGGTGGTAAGTGTTTCAATTTACGAAGACTGTATTGGTTGTTAAAGTATTATACATGTACATAATCTGATTTTTATCAAAGGTAATAAAAAAAATTTGCTAACTGGAAGACTAGTGTCAACTGCATTTAATATTGAATTGTCATTTCATTTCCTCGAAAAGATAAAATTAATTATGCAATTATTTCAGTTTAACCTTGCTCATTTTTCTTTCAGATCTTACGCTTTCCCCTCTTCAGATGTTCCCATAGAACTACAAACATACACCTAAACTAGTTTGATGTGGCAACTTCTTGTTAAGATTCTGCAGAAATGCCAGCACATATATATATAAATTGTTATTGTCAGAAACTAAGTAGGTTTTTGACTTCAGAGCTCTTTTATATTTGGGAGCATCTGGAGTGCCAATCACTGGCTTTAAAATGATCAATGTGAACAGGTGATTAAAGCCCTACCTAATTTATATGCACACATTGTGCATAACTCTTGTTTAAAAAAAGGACAGGAGCTTTGATTGCCCAGTTATTCCCACCATTTTAAAGCCAGTGAATGTTGCTGTCAATGCCCCTGTATGTACACAGAGAAGGATTCTATATACAAGAGCAACAGTATTAATTTTAGGGCAGGAGGAGATTATACATGCACATCCTTCAATGTGGCATCTGCCACTGGCACAAATGAGAAAATCCTTTGCGGAAGAAAAGAATAGGTCTGTACATGTATCAGAAATGATTTAGAGGATATTATTCAGTTGTCATATAAGAACAACCATTGTATAATATTCATTAAAAACAATTTCTTTAATTTTCAGATTTCCATCCCGGTGTAAAAAAATAATGTGGCTCATTTAAGAATAATTTTAACTTTAATGATTACCCTCTTTCAAGCAGTTGCATTTTTTTCGGATTCATGAAAAAACAGAATGCTTTAATGAGTAGTGCAGCAATAGATTGCTTATACTTGTATATCTTTTAGTGTTTGTGAAACGTGCACGGAACTGTTGCTGCCCAGCCCTAATAAGGTTAGCCAGTTTTGAGATGCTAGATTTCAGAGCAAAAATTGATTTACCAGTATCCTGATTTCAACATCAGACTCAGAAAAATAAATATTATATACATAATTAATTTCTATACTATTAATTGGTTTCAAAAGCATGTAATATTTATTACACAAGAAAAGGATTTAAGTTAGTTGTCTTAATTTTTTTTTTATTAGATGGAGTCCCTAAATTAGGTGATCACCAGAGGATTCCAGGATTGTAGTCTAGACTAGAAAGTTGAAAAAAAAATCTTAAAAGAAAGCAATGTTGTCAAGAAATCTTCAGAGAAAATGTCTGAAATTTCCAGAAGCAGAGCTCAAGTCAAAAATAACACAGTATTTTACCAATTAGTGCAAAAGAAAATTAAGGCTAGAAATATGAGCTTAGGTTAGATACTCATTTTTAAATAGAAATAATAGTATTTATAATTAATAAATGTTTTTAATCTAAGAGACTTTTAGCTGTCATGTATCTTCAATGTTGTCTTCTCCCTTTCAGTCCTTTATATAAACACAATCTCTCCTGGAGCTTCAAAATTGTTTATGATTTTGTATGATTTTGTTCTAATGATATAATGATAACAAACATCAGTGATCTTCTAATGTTTTTAGGCACAAATTGTTAATCTCAATTGTTAACAGTTCTGGATTAAGTATTGGTGTGGGTTTTTTAAAAGTTTTTTTTAAAACGAACTTTATTTGGTACTTAGATGCTTATCAGTTGTATGATCCTTGAATGTTTTCATTTTAACACAATTAAATTATAGTATTAAGATACTTATCTGTATAGCAGTCAATTAGGCTATCACTGTAATTATTCTTAAGTACTGTATCTGTAGTTCCAACAGAATAAAAATGCTGCATACATTTTGCTTTCAGAGTATGAAGAGGGTAATAAACTAATAATTACTATAATGTATGTGTATAGTTGGGATATACCTGAAAAAATATGTTACAAATTGGGCATTCTTTTTTTATTTTTAGTGTGTTTTGGGATCTTTATTGTGCAGCGCCAGAAAGACGTGAAACATGTGAACACTCAAGTGAAGCTAAAGCCTTTCATGATTATGTAAGTTTTATGCTTATTGATTACATTTTATCTGAGCTTTGTTTGGAAATGATAACAGCTATGAATTTAGTAATTTTCAATGTGCTGGAAAAGCTACTGCTTCCAAATTTTTGTATTCCCTTGATAGGTAATGGAAATGAAACTAATATTAACCTTGTATGCTGTACAAGAGTCTGTTTTATGTAGGTTAGCAAAGGTTCATCCTTAAGAAACTTCAAGATAACAATCCTGTGGATAAGGTTAAAGAAGTCAAATTTTCAGTTAAATATGGGTAGTGTTGGTAAGGAAGAATGGAAAAGACGATATATAAGTAAAATGATAGTAACGGCAACATATTGTAGATTAAAAAGTATTATCCAATTGTACTGTTCACTGCATAATTAATGGAGGAAATTGTTTAAGGAAAAATCAAGGTGAAGAAACAAAATTTATCTAGTAATCAGATGGTTTGGTTTTATAAATGTTTAGAAGTAGACTGGAAGTGGACAACTAGCAGATATTTTAGCACAAATTTATATGAAATCAGTAGAAAGGCCTTGCATCTATTTCGTATAATAAATAGATCTTCAGTATGAGAAATTTCTAATAAATAACAATTGCTTTTGGGTTTAACATGAGATTATTGAAATTCAACTTTTTGCTTTTCTTGATAGTATTCTAAAGTAGATTGTTGAAAGCAAAAATTACCAGGGCCTATGTATTAAGTGTGATTGTAAGCAAGTATGTTTTGAGTTAACATTTATACCTGAAAATAGAATTATTGTGGTACAATGTCAGTTTAGTGGTAATCATGTGTAAACATTCTCAATATGACTAGGCTCACATTCATGTTTAATTATATCAGAAGTCAGTAATGTTTTGAGTCAATTGCATTCTTATAAATTTGAAATCATATTAGAAAGTTTTAGCTTTTTAATAGTTATCATGGTAATTATGACAAGTCACAAACAAAAGCAAACGGATGATTCTGCTTCCTGTCATCCCACCCCACTGCTGGATTTTTCCTTCTTTCCCCTCCAAAGTTAGGGCTATAGCACCCATTATTTTTATTTTATAAGAATGACTGAAGGTCAAATATGGCACAGAGAGGCATTCCTAGAAATAAAGATAGTGTGAATGTAAATTTGGTCATCATATTGCCTGCTTTTGAGTTATATATTCCTAAATGGAAAGTGTCTGTCTTTTAGTTACAGATTCATAATCAAATGATTTGTTTAAAGAATCGGTTAAATGTATAACAGCAGGAGAAGCTCACTTAAATAATGTTGTCAAGTATTACATTCCCTATGATTCTTTTCCTGATTCCCATCCCGGTTCTAGCTATACAGTGTTATTATGAAAGAGTATATTGTGCAGCTGAGCCTCTATGTTTAAGAAAGCAAGTGTGTTCAATATCAGCTTGCTGAAGAAACAGTCCTTTTCTAAGACTCGGTAGCATGTTGAGTAGCTTAATATTTTGATCGAATAACTCTTCTGAAACATTGTAATAATAGCTTCCAAAAAGGTCATTGTAACAGCAAGGCATCATAAGAAAAAGATACATAGTAAAGGCCCTAATACATTTAGAACTCGGCTACAAGATCTTGGAATACATTCTAATTATAAATAATCACAGTGCTTCACATTGAAAAGCACAAATACAGGAGCACAAATATAGGACCTGGCTTGTAGCTACTTAAAGCAGGCATTTCTGGGGATGTTTTGAAACGCATCCAGAGTGCTGCATCTCATAAATATTTATGGGCACCCCCAATCAGTATATAGAAATGTTCTCTTAACAGTTTTGATCCAGTTTTTAGAAAGTTTCCCTAAATGAATAAATGGGAACATTCTTTGTCTCACCTTTTCAAGTAGTGGAATTTTCAAAGTAACATTTACAGAACAGGTTTCTTAAAGAGATTTGGGGTGTTCTAAGGTGTTTTATTCCAATATCTATTTATATATTACAGCCTGAGACAGAATTGTAAGCTATAGAAACATGCATACAGGCAAATGGAACTTTTTCTTTCTTTCTGTTTAATCATGTCCGGTTTTCAGGAACTGTGGACTTGCAGTTTTCCTGGCCAGGTTTTTCAGAAGTGTTTTGCAATTGCCTCCTTCCTAGGACTGAAAGAAAGTGACTGACCCAAGGGTACCTAGTTGGCTGTGTGCCCAACATGGGACTAGAACTCACTAGTCTCCTGGTTTCTAGCCTGAGGCCTTAACTATTACATAAACCTGACGCTCAGCAATTGAATAGTTATAGCAAATAAATCTTTTTTAAAAATGGGGTAAAATCTAAATTGCTTCTATTAAAGTACTCAGTGTTTCCCTCTTAGTCTAGACTGGGTGAATAATTTCATATAGGATGCAGATGGACATGATTCCTTTGTAATTTTTGACATTCCAATTATGCCTTAAAACTGCTTTGTCCTGACTGATGATCTGATTACATATATGCCAAAAGAGAGATATATGTTACAGAAATAATACTATGTACAGTACATAGCAGTGTCGGGTATTCTGACAAGCTAACAACTACATAATTCTTGGTGATCCTTTCAGTATTGAGTATATTGTTAAAATTGAGCGTATGTATTTTAAAAGAAGCTATCCTATTGCCTATGGAATAGGATCATTCTGCCATAATTTGACTCTTTAATGATATAAATTTTTAAAAAATGGAAAGGGAGTTCAGCAATATCTTATTTCACTGATGGATAGGATTGTTAACAAGATGAATAAAATTTCCATTATGACTATTGCTTGATTAGTTTTCCATATTTTGAGTTATACATTTTTGTGGAATTCATTTGAATTGGTTGTTAAATCAGTTAAGCCAATCTCAACTACTGATTGATTGGTTAAATTACTCTTTAATTATTACCTAGTGCTATTTTAAAACTTGAACTAGAAGTTTGCAACTTAAACAAACCAAAAACCTCTTGCAAACAATAAATGTCTTGGAATTGTGATAGTAAAAGACATAGATTTTAAAGTCTATAGAAGTTCAAGGTCACTGACCAATTTCTGTATCCAACAATATGTGAAATCAGATTGTTTGTTTCTGAACTTGTGGCCAAGACAATATGGGAATACTGTTAGATTGGCAACTGCTATAAAATCTCTCTAGGGATAGACAAGCTAAAATGCTCTGATCTAGTGGCCTGATGAATCCAATGACTTCTAGGATGCATGCAAGGAATTTGTCACTTCATTTCTTCATGATAATGTAGAAATCCTGGCTAATCAAAGAACATGGAGACTGCCTATGTGGCTTACATTATCCATTCTAAATCTTGTTCCCTCTAATAGAGCTAAATTGTCACTTTGGTTTATTAGAGAGCAATGAAGCAAACACATAGAAGATTGAAGTAGAAATGAGGAATTCTTTTGATGAGTCAGACCAAACACAGAATGGTGTGTATTTTAAAGCCCATCTAAAATCTTATTCTGTGGTAGTAGATACAGTAAAGAGGGATTACTTCTTTGTCTCCATTGCATCTGCACAGAACAAACCAGCAATGCCTCTCCATACTGTATGGCATCTCCCCCATCTAGATGTTAAGTTGGGGAGCCTGAACAGTCAGAGGCTCGCTGTGAGCAGTTTTCATTGTTCTTTGCAGACAAAGTCGATCGGAGTTGCCTTGACTTGGACTCCAGTGTTTGGAAAGGTCATAGGAGGTAAGCTTGGTAATAGTTCATATGGATTATTTTCATCTTGTAAGATCTTGGGGATATGAACAGGAAATATGGAGAAATAAGAGCCAATGCCTGCTTACTCAGTCCTTAAGCTTTCCTCCTAGCTGATACATTAACCAAATAGGATTGGTCATTTAGTTAAATGATCTTTAGCACTGATCTTTCGGACACAGGATTTATTTCCATCTGCTTAAAGAAGGGAGTAATAAAATATTTACTTAAATAAGCCCTGTATTATGTTGAAGAATCTATGTAGGCTAGTCTGAAATATTTTACATTGAGCCAAAGTTATTGATAATATGGCCTCACAGCTCTCAACGTTTTTTTTTTTAAATAATTTGAATCCCTTTCAATAGGTACTTCATCTGGAATATGATACTTAAATTACTTTGATTGCTGTAGTGATGTCCTGGGCCAGAAAACAACTGTCTAGTCCTGATTCAGCTGTTGTCTTGAAATGAATCACATGAAATACTTAAGAACCAAGTTCTATTTCAAACAGATTAATGCCAAATAAAAAAGTGGGCAGCTTTGATAGGAACTCAAATATATATGTAGTTCTAGCTTTCATACTACGCCTCTTGTTTTTTCTTATAACCAATTCAAATTTAGCTTAATATTAATAATATTTTTCACTTCATACTCTTAAAAGCTATAGAATCTCTGTATTCACCAACATAAAAGTAGACAAATCATAGTATTTTTCAATGCAGTCTGGCGGAATTTGGGCCTTGATAGCACCGTTTTGTAATATATGCAGTCCTTTATATTGTAATGTTGTAATACTAGGTGGCTTCTGATCAACAAGTAGATTATTATCTACACTGAATGACGATTAGGGCCTAAATATCTCAGAGGCTGTTTGCACCGCGAGGAGGCGAACTAGTATCATGCCCTCCTGTTAGCATATCTTTACATTTTAGAATTAATTCATCTGGTCATATTTCCTGTCTAATCTTCTGGTAAGGCTGACATCAATCTTGCAAGTCTGAAAGTACACATCTGCCACTTTTTCCCTAAGAATCTAAGAAACTAGCTTTTGCTCCTTCTCACATTATCCAGCTGCAGGATATGCCTTCTCTTATCTGACCATTCCATAGCTAGAATCTCTTTCCTATCTTCCAAGGTTCTTCCCACATACCATTGTAGCAACCTTAGAACATTATGACCCCTTTTCCAATGTTTCACTGTAGGGATAGTATTCTTTTCTTGAAAAGCACTGTTTTTATTCTGTGGACATAGAGCTATTGTGACTTACTAAACCTAACCCTAACCTCAAATTTTGTTTCATCTGTTCAAAGGCATTCTCCCAAAATGGC